TGAGGTCCTCCATGACACTAAGTGAGGAGGAATTTCAGCATTTTATCAACTATTAGGCACAGTAATACGACTATTTTAAAGCATCGTAAAGTCAAAGCAATACACAAAATGAGAAAAACAACTTCCACGAGCTTCTGAATTGAAATCACTGCACTCACGATGCGTGAGAGAGAAGTGAATGTTTTTGGCAGATGGCACAGTCTCATGGTTCAAGTTACTAGTGATAAAGTTAAATGCACGCATTGCAGGTGCTGTGACGTGCGAGAAATTCTAACGGGAAAAGCAACGTTGGTATGCAAATAAAACGCATCTGTCCGTTGATGGAAACCGGGTGCACTTATAACCAACTTAAATGAGACCCATAAACTCGAGCTTTGACCAACCAAACAAATAATTGGAGTTCAAGGCAGAAAAGTGAACTTACTCCCCCTGAGTTAAATCAACCGCGGAATCAGATGACAAACAGTCGCGATGCCAGACTGAGATGAGATTCAGACAAGAGGCACATGTGTCGTAATTTAAAGTAGACTTCGATTCCAGGGATGCCTTTTCGATTTCCAAAGAATCCCTAATTTTACGAAGATGGTCTATAATTAAACCCACAAATTCACTCGATGTTGCCCTATTCGCACAGGAAACAATGCTGGGTAGCTTACGAAACAAAGCAGTCTACACACCATCTAGCTCTAAAATGTGCGTGCAAGAAGGCGTGTGAAGATATAACTTACACGACAAAACTCGTCAGATAGCATTCCTTCCGGGAGAAGATACATGAACCGCCACCAAGCGAGCAACCGTGAGGCGGAATGAGCAAAATACGACAGCAAAAACTCTCACGTCCTGCAATTCTTATATTCACACGCCCAAGGTGAAGTGGAAACGATTCCCATGGGGGGTAATCCTCATGATTTTCATTTACACGTTTGCCAACATTACACCTCTACAAAGTTTGCATTAACGCAACAACATGCCTAGAAGAAGCCTCTGCGTGAACATATCATAACTCTGACGTCAACTTTTCGTACATTCTCTATGACACGAAGGTGACACTGTTGGTTTGTCAAAGCCAGCCTAACCCAGCATACGACGATTCCGAAATCGCAATGGTCCACCTTACAAAAGGCGATGCTTTCAGCGGAATCAGCTAAGCGAATGGTAAATCTGCCCTTGCGCATAAATATACCGTCAACTTCGACGGTGCTCCGTCTACGCCAGATTCAAAAATAGTGGAATCTCCATTGGCATAAAACTTGACGCCCACAACGTTATCTGACCTCTCAACGCATACAAACAAAACTTTAATTTTTCTAATTTAAGTAGAAGCACTGATTGCCAAAGCTGCTTGTAGTATCAAACTTTTCCTAATCAAATGTGCGTACGACCTTACGTAAACAGTGTTATATTTTTACGGGAAAGCACACCAATTACAATTACTTTATATTCGTGCCTTAAACTGTGGCTTTTATTACATGTCTTTTATTCGGTTTTTACTTTCAATGGTTTTTTTGCTTCCAGATATTGCCAGCCTCCTTCGCTCGGTTATTTTTGGGAAATTACTTAAGACCAACTCAAATTGGTGTCCACTTCATTTGCTTGCAATTTGGCAAGTGTTGGAATAGAGTAGCAAGTATTATTTGGCCTCACGCAATTTAGCTCCCTTCCATTTGAAGTTGACAGGCTGACTCCTGGATAAACACAGGCCTTAGTCGTAATGTGGTGCTAATGCTATGAATTCGCTAAATGATGCCAACTTCTGTTAATGGGTTTTCCTTGAGGAAAGATCCGCATTCCATTTGCTGTGTAGGCCTATGTAACTAATGGTTGTGGCAATTGTCCAGGCTACGTGATATTTTCCGAGCTGTTCCCACCAAGTGAAGTGAAGAATTTGCTCTTCGCTTTTGTGAGTTTTTTCTTGTACACTTTTTGGTCAACATGACTCTTCTTTAAGAGTGGCTCTCCATCCTTGGTTAAGGCTTTGCCCCAATGTGCGCCCATTCGTTACCTGTTAATCCAGAGCGACCATTGAGTTCGCTGTGAATATGTAACTGCATGTGCATAGATGGCAACTCCTTGCACATAAATGGAACACTTCTGCCTGTTGATTTTCCATCACTCTATGAGGATGTGATGAGTTAGAGGCCATTCATGTATTGATTGAAATTGGATTCCGTTCACTGATATTGGACGCAGGTATTTATAGTGGTTAGCCTCATGCCATACTGAGGCCTTAGTGGCTGAGATGCCGAAGGAGTCCCGTAGTGCTGGTGAGGCACAGGGCCCGAACGATAGGAGGGTCCTTGCTGTTAAGTCACTGTTTCTGCTTATGGGGTGGTATTTGTTAGCATTTCATGAAGAGCACTATTGATTAGGGTCCAATTTTGACCCCTCAAACAATGCTTCCTGAGTCACAGTTTGCAGTTGGGGCCAAAGCTTCTGCCCTCGCGCACGTGATGGGTTGGAATTGTCGTAATGCTTACATTGATGATGCGGTTTCTTCTCTTAAGTAGCTGGCTGCTTACTGCGCAAAAGTAATAGCGGGGAGTGTCAATTTTTATCCCCCAGATATCCGTTATGCAATAAATCATCGCTATTTTTAGAACTGGGCATGGCAAGGAATAAAGAAGTCAGTATTGTGTAGACTGCACGTCTAAACTGGTACATTCGCCTTTTCTAGTGCCTGATTTTCCAACTAATTTCTTTTCATTAATCTCGTCCCACAAATTTATTGCAAGCTTGTGCAATCATCGGAGTCTTGAATCGGATTGTTGGACACACTTTATGGTAATCGCTTTATTTGCCTCGGTTCGTTTGCAAGAAGTAGGAACTCTGTCTACGCGACTACTAAACAGCCCTATCCAAATCTAAGATGGGGATTATTCTTTATTTTTGTTTCATTTTATAGTTGCAGGAACACATTTGCGAAATGAAGGTGGGGATAATTCGTCAGAGTGGGCAGTGTTGATGTTGTAAGTTGTCGTGCGGTGCACCAAAGTACAAAGGTCACGACTTTGTACCCTTGCTGCAATGCACTTTGGATAATTAGTGAAGTCAGGGTTCACAAATCAACGCGGCGTGAATCAACACATCTACTCGCTGATACATTTTAACAAAAGTTTTCATTCCTATTCGACTTTTCTTGTGGTGCTGGAAGTGGTCGATTGACTGCCCCTTTAGTAAGTTCTTCATATTCCTCATTGTTAACGCACACGGAACCCGCCTCTAAAGTCTGAATGGCTAAATCACCGTCATGTGCTCGCATGCTGACCGGTTCATACTCCTCTCCGTCAACGGATTCAGGTGAAGGGGTTGGTTTGAAGCATGTGTGAGTGGGGTCGTGTTGTTGAATGTCCATTGTTTCGTAATCTTCATAGTCGTCATCATTGACGCTGAAAGGAGGTGAAGAGAAGTGAGAGTATTCTGCTTTGGTTAAGCGGTTAGGGTACGTTTTACTTGGAGGGGGGCCGAGATCCGCAGTTCCCTGCGGTTCTGTTTTCGCTGTAGCACACTGAGTCCCCATTTCCTCGTAGAGGTTGTTTGCCCGCCACAATTCACCGCGCGAATCCACCTTCACTGGTTGCATCTCAACACTCCTTTGCTTTTTGACGATTAGTCTAGGCAAAGGCGTGCAAAGAACATACGAGCTAGTTGAGGTAAATTTACTTAGTGATTTCACCTGTTCATTCTCTTGAAACTTCTCATGAATCCAACAGATGAATGTGGTGTTCTCGCCTTTGGCAAGAATGGGCGCCAGTGATATCACAACTAAAACTCCATTGATGGTCAGTGATTGTTAGACAATGGCGATGCAAATGATGCATGATTCTTCAACGACCTTTACGACTGATCGCAATGGTAACTCACCTCAATTTGGGAAGAAGGTAGACCCGAAAACAGCGAACCAGTGTAAATATGCAACCGGCAAGTAGAGCCAGCAGGCAAATTGTGACTACTGCAACAATAGCTGATGCCTGAAATAGCAATTTTGATGATGCCTGATTATTATATCTCCAGATTACGAGATGGCAAGAAATGCATGATGGAGTGGCTTTCGAGCCTTACAAATCAAATAAGGGCAGTGGATTATAAAATCTAACATCATCCTTCGAAATTTTCCACAGTTCAATGCGGTGCTTACGACAGCTCTCAAGTGAGAAGGTAAAAGTGAAAGTAAACAGGACAAATTTGTTTTAGGAATTGGAATCCATCTATGTTAATAAGCGACGCAAATAGAGGGTAGGAAGGTTAGTTTAAAATGTCCGAAATATTTGAATTCTGCAAAACCGCCCCCTACTTTCAAGCAGTTCCATACGTGGTAGGTCCCTCTACCAACCTTTCCTTGATGGCGTGCATTAAACTCTTGTAATTGACGGAGTCAATTGCATTCATGGAAGTGTCGCTCCTAAGATTGATGCTTTGTTGGTAATTTTGGAAATGAATTAACTAGTAGCTACTCCGATACAATCGGGAAATGGAGTTTCAGTAAGTGGTAAAGAGAAAGCTTTTGAAGATGCCGCATGGACTTACCTTCACTAAGGACGTTTCACACCGCGCTCCCCTCCAACCATCTGCACAGAGGCAGGTGAGCACTGTGCCATTCATGCGGTTGACACAGTGCCCTCCATTGGCACAGGGCAATCGGCCCAGTCGCTTTTCCTCCTGTGCGCAAGCATCCACCCTCTCCCTGCAGTGCAGCCCACTCCATCCGATGCTGCAGTTGACACATTCGGCAAAGTTTCTGTTCACACCGACCGCAGTGCATGTACCGTTGTGGTGACAGATATGCTCCTCACATGGGTCGAAGCCCAACTCACATCTCTTGCCTTCAATTTTAATGGTAAAGTTAGTTGTCCCAAGGAACTGAGAAGTGCTTTTAAAGTGGGTGAAATAAAGATAATGGGATCGCAGTTGCAGAATACCGGTGTTGAGTCACCGAAGAACAAGCAAGGGGAAATTTCAATGCATTGAAGTATACCTATTGTAACATCCATTGAAAGGCTTAAAATAGTTTTTGAGTTATTTGCAATTCGGCGTTAGTTTTTGTGCCAATATGAGCTTGTTGTTTGAAATAAAGTTTCCTCTGAAGCATTTAAATTAGTAATGGTGGGACGTTCACCGAGTTCCAAAAGTGTGGCAACCTATATCGTGGAACCAATTAAGTGCACGTTAAGCATTCATTGGCTAAGAAATATGCTGATGAATGCACGGGAGCCAGGGCCCCTAAACAGTATACCCGAGGTGCCATCGCATAGACACCTGAAGGAGTCTTCCGTGTTTTCACAGACTGCGAAGGGTGCACAAGGCGGCGAGTCGCTGCAGAAGTCAAATTGCGAGCATTTAGGTCCGAAGTAGCCTAAAGAAAAGTATTTGCGAGTAATTTTACGCCTATGGATAGTTTATTTGGAGCATGTTTAATCGTCTCGACATTAGTCTGCCAGACACGTTTATCCCACCTGGTGAAAACCAGTAAATTAGTCGCTAAAAGCCGCTGTTTGCTTAACAGTTACATTATCAATTTGCAAGTGTTTGATACACATCCAAAGCCCTGTGCGTTGGATACAAAAATAAGGCGATATGGCATGACTGCAGGGATGTGCTCTCCTGACGGACCATCAGGTAGGCAAATGTAATGCCTTAAGATAACAAAGTCTTTTCGTTCCTCAGTAAAGTGACTAGCAAGTACAAAGATACGATAACGTTGTGTTATTTTTTTGGCATATTACGACAAGGATGATGTGAGCACTAAGTGATGCGGGTGATATGAACACGCTGGAGAAGAAACGACCTGGGTGACATGTTTGAAGGCCATCCGAATCGCAGAAGCCCCTACCCTCGATAACGCCACATGGTGTACACTTGCTGCCGAAGTGATTGGGTTTGCATCTCCTTCTTACCCACATACGCATCCTAAAATAAGGAGTCAGCAGATGAACTTGGAGTAGATTTTGTAACGCATCGAATGCTAAAATGAGCGCGATATTCCCAAATCTAGCTTTTACGAATGGCAACAGACGTGCGGATCAAGCCATCCCTTTGTAAATTTTGCTAAAGTGCCAGTTGAGTTACTTATTGAGCATATGAGGGTGTTGTTACTACTTAGATTTCGCTGCTGAGCTCGGCGCACTCGTTGGAAGCACAAGAACACTTTGAATATTGCTTCACATCTTTACCCGGTGCCATTCATGCCGCAGTGTTATTCACTGGCAGAGGCGATGCCTCACTGGAGTTTCAGTGAGCGGACTGCAATGGATCGTACCTGATGATGAGAGTACTTGGCGGTTCTAGTCTCAGTTAGAATACCAGTGTATCTACCGCGTTCGTTGTACTCTACGTCGAGCAAACACTTAACAGATGTTGCAACTTCTTAATTATATTGCCAAGTTTGTAGGTCCTACTTGTAACAAATACTTAGAATCACCACTTTTAGCCTAATAGGTCGCATATGCACCTAGTGGGTGGGTGAACTTCCTCCTCTATTTGTGATAATGCCGGCACATTAACCGCAACGCAGGGACAAATACCGCAACGTCAAAAGTAGGATGAAATGGCTCTTACTCGGTTGAGGGATGCGCGCCTCCCGTGCTTGTTGGCAAAATGTTTTGCTGAGAAACTAGTGCTGAGGGCAGAAATGAGTAAGTGTATTCCGCAATAAGATCCGGACTGGATAGGAGATCGTGGTCCATTATAGTGACTGTCATTTTAATCTGAAAAGAACATTATCAAGCAAAATCAACCGGAATGATCGTATGGAAGGCAAACTTTCTTTCCGGCAATTTCAAAACAATGCTCTTTGCTAACTTTTGAACAAATCTCAAGTTAAAAGCAGTTTAAGCTAACCACATGCTAAGACTAGGTGGGTTCCAAAGCGAAATATCATGTACTATTTATTGCCTTAAGTGTGAAATGATATGCACAAAGATATACCGTCTGGTCCGACGTGTAGTTGACAACGACTGATTTTGAAAGGACGCCGGTATTCCTCACAGGGTGCGTCTTTTCATAGTGGAGATTGCATCTCCTAAAGTGGTAACATTTTACAAATCGTCACATTAGGATTATCGTTGTCTTTAATGCATTTATCAACTAATTGAAGCCACATCCAAAATCGGCGCTACACAATGATATACAAATCAAACATGTGTGTAGCCAAGCGCGACCACTGGGAGGCTGGGTAAAAATGAAGTGGAGAGCAAACAGCCAAGTCTGGAAAGCATGACTTATGGGTAAGGCCTCATGGGGTGTGTCTACAAACACAGCATCTAGAAATAAGGCAAATTTGCACACTCCAAGTGTGTCAACCTTTTTCATAAGCAGGCGATGTTGAAATAGCACGTGCATCGAATATATAAAACTGTGGCAAGGAATGCTCCGCTGTGGGTCACTAAACCTGTGAATGACAATTGATTCATTGGTGTTTTGCACACGCAGAAGAAAATTTCCCAAAATTCTTTCGTAAATGTGACCAGACAGTGTGTCTGTTCTTTTTGGACAGCTACGAATTCACTCATGTCTACTGTTCCGGGTGAAAAAGTGTGTGGACAGCAAATGGCTTCGTGTAATTGGAAATGTTAACTTGGTGCTGTGTTGACAAGACTTTGCTTTTTAAATGGACTCACGAAATTTAAAGGGACATACGAATTCATGCCACCGTACCGACCACAAAGTGGTCTCATTTACCTTGTGCTGCTTTCCTCAGTTATGCAAATAATGAAGAAGACGTCGCACTTGAAGTTCCAAGGAAAAGTGTCGCAATTCTCACCATTGGGCAATTTCGCCCCTTCATTTGAAAATGTCATCTCAATTTCCAAAGTTCCCACAGGCTGAAAGAGGAAGTTGAATATGCTATTACGCACACTACACCGAGACGTTACAGTTAAGATCGCACCAAAAAAGAGTTTTGTTTCCATTTGTACAAAAAGCCGTCACAAAAGATGGACAATTTACAACAAAAAAGAATGAATAGTGGGGGAGAAGATGTCTTTTGATCTAACAACTACTTGAGTCACATTTCGAGTAGCGGGTGTTGAGGAGGATTCAGAAATTGCAAAAGCACCGTGAGTGTTTTAATATAGAGCCTCATAGTTATGCTGGGAGGGAGACGTTTGAACGTACATTGGAGGAAGCAGGAGTAGAAGCGAGAAGGAAAAGGAGGAGCGAAGCCTTGATGAGCATTCCGCAGTGAAGTTTTACGCAGTGTGTCAGAATTCGGATTGCGTGTTAGTTCAGATCGTGGCGTGGCCGTGGATGTTTACATTGGAATCACGCACAGGTGGTATTGTAGCTGCTCGTGTGTCGATTTGGTTGGTTGATTAGCAGAGAAAAGTAGTTAGGTGTTGATGCGTGGGTGTTGCGAAAACCGATGCCACCTTGCACAAAAGGGCGTCAGCGGATTGAGGGTATCAACGCCAACAGCGTACAACCCTTTCTACCACACCGAGGAATGCCACATCCTCCATCTCGTATTTGGTAGGATTTGTCAATTCGAAGGCGTGCTGCTGACGGCGTTTGAGTCCCCTCACTTTAAGTCTCCTCTCCTCGAAAAAAGTAGGGAACGAATGCAGAGAATTTACAAGTCTTTCGAGTTCCCTTAAGGCTGTCAAAATTTTTTGACAAGCGAATGCATTCAGGTAGGCAAACTTGAAAAAAAATTTTGATGGTAAGCAACTAAGAAAAAAACCCTAAAATTATCTAAACCTCCTTGGAATACTAACCTTACTGCTGGTACGTGCCTCCTGGAAGAAGGCGCCCTTCCGGTGTTTGCTTTATTTGTGTCGAATGTTACACTACTGAGTAAAAGGAAAATTAAAGCTTTAGGTAGCAGTTTGTGAGAAGCAAGCGCAGAATTTGTTTGCTTGTATTTCACAAAAAGAGCGAATTAATTCGAATTCTCATTGAAATTAGCTGAAAAGGCAACCGGAGAGCTAGAAAACACTTATAAAAATTGGAGTCCCGAAATTTTTGATTAAACTTAATGACGAAAATTTGCGCAGATTATCAGATTCGTTGTTTGTTTCATGTTTGAAGTTGGAAAAAAGAAAGACAGCATACTCGGGCAGTATGTGCATTATCGACACGCAGAAGGGCTTGCAATAACTGGCATGACCCGGATGTCGGTCAATCTGGCGAAGGTATAAC